TGCAAAGTGATAATGTTTACCAATAAGATATTTTCGTTAGAGGTAGAGATATAGAGAGAGAAAGCCAGAAAAAATGAGAGAGTTGTATTAGATCAGATCCCCCTTTTACAATGTGGAGGTCTCCTTTATATAATAGGAGACCTTCCTCGAAAGAATCAAAAAGTTACAAAAATAGGTAACGTCTCCCTATCGTGGACGCGAGTTCTAAACGATGTCGCTTTTGTCCTCACGGCCGAGTCGTACCCGCTACGTTGGTCGGCGTACACTCATTGGGCGTACCCACTGGCGTAGAGATACTGAGGGTCAAATTTGACCCTATACAGTTAGTCCCTCCGCTCGTTGGAGACGCGTTCGGTGGGCGTCTTCGACGGACGGAAATACGAACCTCGGCTTAGGAGAATTTGACCTCGACCAGGGGCGGCAATATGAATGAAGTGAAACATATGACGTTGTTGAGCCGCTGACGCGTGGCTTCCTTTTTGGAATGATGTCATCGCCTGTATGCATCATTATTATATTTGCCCCCGAGGCGGTTCAGAGGATGAAGTGACCTTTTGGTTTCCGGCGCACGTTTTGAATCATGACTCTTCGATTCCTGTGCAACTTATCCTTATAAGTATGAGAGAGGTTTGATCTGATTCCACTTTCAAGCCGCTGAAAAGTATTTTCTGATACACTCCTTTGCCTTCCTTTCTTGTAACCGTTATTTCGTGAGGGACTCTCACACTTCTGTTGAAACCACACTTCCTATCGTCAGTGCTTCGTTTCTCAAGTAGCATAATCATGACAAAACGCGGACAGAATAATAAAAAGGCCAAAGATAATGCCCCGTCTAGGGTTCCGCCATCTTCCGGTGGTGAAGGGGAAAAGGCGGAGAAGGCCCTTGTTCCTCTCAGCGTAGACAATGTCCTTCCGAAGGAGACGCACGTTCGCAGGGATTTTCCAACTAAAAGCCCTGATCTTCCCTGGGAGCACAACGTTTTACTACAATCCCATTTAGATGATCTGCGAGAGACGCACCATATTTCGGACCACGTGGAAATGGTTCCGGCCGGGACGGATTATGCCAATGTGCACCGGCCTGGATATTGCACCTTCTATGAGTACCCGTTCTTGATCGGTTACGACCTTCCAGTCTACCCTCTGGTGGAGGAGCTTTGCCGTTTTTACAATGTGTGTCCGGCCCGGCTCACTCCTTATACTTTGAAGGTGTGCCGTATCATGACCACTTATGCGGCCAGGGCTGGGTGCAGCGTCTCGGTCCACCACCTCTTACAGTTGTTCAGCGCTGGTTACCTGAGGGGTACCATGCTTCAGTTGAAAGGTCGTGGCGCAAAGGGCTTGGTCGTTAAGGCCGATGATAAGCCCAACCGCCGCTTTTGGCGTAAATATTTCTACATCAGGACGGAGCACCTGGTGTCGAATCCCGAGGGGTTCCCGGAAAGATGGAATCCAGAACGTAAGTATTTCTACTTGTAGATTTCAGTGCTGCTTGCGCTTTCGACCATACGGCCATTGTGACCTTTGTTTTTCTTTCTTCTCTTTTTTATTCACAGTGAGGGCTTCTCCACCCCAGCTTGTTGATGACATTAAATCGTGGGTGGAAAGAATAATACCCTATGCGGAGGAGTGCCGTACCTGGGATGCATTTCTTCGACAGTACGGCCCGTCAGGTAATTCTTTGGCTACGGTTTGGGGATTCCCTACGTATTTATTACCTGACTTGTTCGCTGGCAGGTCGGAGCGCCCCTAAGAAGAAGAAAAAGAGCGTCGTCATCTTACCTGGGGCGGGGACTGATTCTGAAGATGGATACATTCCCTGCGGCTCGNAAGTAGGGTGGCATCTTGAAGGTTTTTGGGGTGGAGTGAGGAGCAGCTTCTTCGGTGTATGGTTGTTCAACGAACCTTCCCACGTCGCGTTTTGGTAGCAACTTGGGAGCACCGGGGATCTTGTCGACCCTCTCCTGATGTTCCTTCATCTGACCACGGAGCGCCTTGTTTTCATTTTCCATTTCTTCCATCTTCTTTAGGATGGCTGTTAGCGTGCCATCATTGGTCTGTGTCTCGATGGGTCTGTTATTTACTAGTGTAGCTTCCGGTTCACCCACGGCAGCAGCGGTACCTACCGTTGGCGTACATACGATGTTATTTTGCGGTGACCTCTCAACCAAGCCACTTAGAGTGCTTGTTAGCCATCTTTCCAGTAGCTCTTTGACCGCTGAGGGTGCTTCCGTAGCCGCAGATGTGGAAGCTCCTTTTTCGTGCAAGATCGTCAGGCCTTCGGATGGGGAAGGTGAGATCTCTACACCTGGTGTGATTCTAGGGATTGCATTCAGGATGCCACCGTCACTGGCCTCGTTGAGAGGGCCCAGGAGATTGGTAGTGACACCCAATATGGCTTTCGATCTTGTGCTATTTTCTGCCATTTTTCTGTTTTTGTGTAGTGTAGAGAGTGGTAGTTGGTTTATCTCTAGGTGGATACTATGATTTTGATTCTCGAAATCCCCACAGACGGCGCCAAATTGTTTGGCTGAAAAGTTAACGATATACTTTGTAAGCGATAAAACAATCAAAAATAGAAAAGGGATAAATCGTAATCAAATATAATAAGCCTAGAGATGCAAAGATGATAATATTGTTGTAGATCTGATATTGCAAAGTGATAATGTTTACCAATAAGATATTTTCGTTAGAGGTAGAGATATAGAGAGAGAAAGCCAGAAAAATGAGAGAGTTGTATTAGATCAGATCCCCCTTTTACAATGTGGAGGTCTCCTTTATATAATAGGAGACTTTCCTCGAAAGAATCAAAAAGTTACAAAAATATGTAACGTCTCCCTATCGTGGACGCTGAGTTCTAAACGATGTCGCTTTTGTCCTCACGGGCGAGTCGTACCCGCTACATTGGTCGGCGTACACTCATTTGGCGTACCCACTGGCGTAGAGATACTGAGGGTCAAATTTGACCCTATACAAGTATCAAACTAGTTTAATCCAATAGTTTAAAATGCAACCCGCTTCAAACATACAAAACAAAATTTGAAATTGAGAATTTTGTAACTTAGAAAAAACTTAAGCTAATATATCTATCTATCTATATCTATACTATATTAAAAGCAAGAAGGCTCTATCGAAATGTCATTCGCTTTTTTTACCCTTTGTAAATGTATTCCACGCCGGATATAATTGCAATTTTAACCATTAATACTTTTTTAGGCAAATTTTCTTTTTTTTCCCGATTTCGAACTCTTTAGGCTTTTATTTGCTTAGGATTAGGTTTCTTTACTGTCGTATTGCTTTCTTTTAGGTTTAGGCTTCTTTAAGTTTTTCTTTGATTTCCTTAAATTTAGAATATTTTATTGCCAATGTTAATTAGTCGCAAGTTGAAATACAGCGGAAGGTTTAGGATTCTTTAAAATGTTGTGCCTTTTCTTTGTTTATATTTATGATTCACTTTAGGTGTCTAGAATGTTAAGATCAAAATAAAAATCATACTATATATTCTTTATCAGAAACTCTTGATAGTATCAACAACTTATTTGCAATTCGAGGTAAACATTCTATTCTACAGTTTGTTCTTCAAGTTATGTAATAATAAATGTTCGTGCATCCTTAATACACAATTACAATTTGAAAGATTGTCAATAGTGATTTCTATTTACAATATCTTTTATATGATCATCAATTTAAAACTGACTTATTTATAAAATTTGCATAGGTTGTTTGGGTTATTGCATTCATAATTTAAAATTAATTCCCAATTATATTTTTTTGGTTTTCAGTTTCTCTTTCTTTGAGCATAAAGAATTTATATTATTAGTAGTTTTACCCTTCTTTTATAATTGACGTATTCAAGTATCGAAAAGTATCACCAGATATCCAGCAAGAGTTTTTAATGGTAAATACTTTAATAAAAATAGGTAGGCGCTTCTAATGAACTTTCGTAAATGAAAGGTAATTAGAGATATTTACATGAGAAATTAAATCTGCGTCGGTCAGTTGAATACCATAGGAAAATAGCTAACTCAATTTCGTGAATTCGAATAATTAATGGTAGTGTAAAATAATTTATGTATGAGGAGTGTGCTAAAATTAAATAATTATCGGAACTCTCTGAGGAGAATTGGCAGTGGAAATTAGACTTCTTATTATTTAGTTACTTTTATACTATTGTGTTCTATTGACATTGTAAGTGTGTTAGATTGACAATAAGTACCATGTCTTGTGTAAAAAAAATATTGAAGTATGCTTTTAGTTAAGATCCCTTACAAATGGGAATTTTTATTTAGTTATTACTATACAAGACTTGTTGAATTTGGTATCTATACGCAAGGTAGTCCTTGCATTATGGTCGTGTGCATGGATAGAGAAAGAAAGCTATCCAAAACCAAAACAAGAGTAGAAATATAGTGTTAAGTATTGCTTTGAGAAATAGAACAATATTACATTTTGCTTGTGGAAAAAACTAAGTTTAAGTTGAATATATTGAAATATGATTGATGATTTTTACGTGACAAAGTTTCTTCCTTTATTGAGTTACTGCAGAATCAACGTTAATAAAATCATAAGCTTAAAATTTTATTATGTAACTCGATTACAAACACAATTTTTAATATATAAAATATTATGTAATTTTGGTTTAAAAAATTACTCAACTGAAATAGAGTACACGCGCAAAACGCGTACCCTGAGACCAGTAACTTAAGGAAAAACACATTAATCTTTACTTGTTTTTTAACAAAAAACAAATACAAGAAATAAAAGGGGGAATGTTGTATCTATCTGTGGCCGATTGGGTTATGAGTCAATGTTCCACCCATCTTAATCCAGCTTATTTTAACCCAATTAAATTTTCGACGAGTTATTTTTCACATCTGAATTATCTTGGTAATCTAAAACAATAACGTTACAGTCGATGAAATTAATTAACAGTACAAAAATTTCTTTATAGTATTACATATGACTTAAATTCATTAAAGAAGAATACCAAATCCATATTAAGATCCCATCATTATATGCTGACTACATATATGGTACATTGTGGCTTTCACCATGTGCTGCATCTTCCTCCCCTCTCTGCCCCCTCTCGTTTTTAGCACATTATATACACTGTCTTGTACTTTGATTTGAATTTCAAGACCCAAACAGAAAATGGAGTTTCTATTACTCTCACTATTATTGCTATTTTCAGTGGAAACAAAAGCGGAGGAGCATTTTTATCTGAATAACACAAGCAGCAACTCCATAGACACGACTACTACAAGAAATCTCCTAGGAAGAAGAAGTAGTGGTTGTAATATTTTCAGAGGCAAATGGGTTTATGATTCTTCATATCCTCTCTATGATTTCTCAACTTGTCCTTTCATTGAAAATGAATTCAACTGTCAAAAGTACAAAAGACCTGATAATTTGTACCTTAAATACAGATGGCAACCTTTCTCCTGTAACCTGCCAAGGTAAGATATACTCATTCTTTTTGACTCATTCTGTTACTGTTAGTTTTTCTACTTATTTCAATTGTTCACAAAATGTTATTGCAGGTTTAATGGGTTGGTGTTTTTGGAGAAATATAGGGGGAAGAATATTATGTTTGTTGGTGATTCATTGAGTTTGAATATGTGGCAGTCATTAGCTTGCATGATTCATTCATGGGTGCCAAAGGCCAGAACTGCAGTCATAAGGAAAGAAGGACTTTCTGAAATTTCATTTCTGGTTAGTGAATTTAGTTCCGCCCATGCTACTATTTTTTCCTATTCTCGTCATAATTTACACATAGTTTAGTTACTTTAACACGATAAAAAAAATTGTTACTTTTAAGTTGGGAAGGTAAAGGTGGTCAGGTGTTTGAGTTGTGGAAATAGCCTCTTGCGGAAATGCATGGTAACGCTACGTACAATAGTTCTTGTGGTCCGGCCTTTCCCGGACTCCGCGCATAGCGGAAACTTAGTACACCCGGCTACTTTTTTTAATGTATGTTATGTTGTGGTGGGAAAGATAATTATTTTACTATGATAAAAGAATATTTTATGAGTTTAATGCTATAGTAAATATTGTTTAAATAACCATAAGGTTAAATTAAAACTTCATTCAAATGTTGTTCTTGTGGTTCAACTATTATTTTTTTAATATTTGGCAAAAATGTTGGAGTAGCTTTATTTATGACATGCTTGTCTTGTCCTTGTCCTTAGTTCTAAATGGACAGTGAAATTTTCCCTAGAAGAAAAAAAAGAAAAGAATAATTTTTACTACATGCCTGTATTCCTGTTATGCTTGTTTCTTTTCTCAATTTTAGTAAAGCCTTGTGATATTTTTAGAAAGCATAAAACTTTGAGTAGTCAAATTTTAAATTACATAGTCGTTTGGATAAATGTACGTTCATTTACATTTTTTTTTTCTAAAATCTTTGCTCAAGTAACAAATCTCTCCTTCTTTCGTTTTCTCTATCATTCATCTTTGGATTTGGGAGAGGAGAGTTGTGAAAATGGACAGTAAGGTCTTATGTCTCAAAAGGGAATATAAACAAATAAATTATAAATTCAATATAAAAAACTCTAAAAAAAGCTCCGTTTACTATCAAATTAAAAACATAGAGGAACATAATAATTAAGAACTTTGAGGGAGAAGTGATGATCAAACTTAGGCATGCACAAATTAAAAATGTGTAGCTTCTACCACATAGGATGCTAATTTCTAATGATATGAATAATAATTGTGCATGCTTTACATGGAAATATGTTCAATCGGAGTGTATTTTATTTTATTAAATCACCAAGTGGTTGTATTTATGAACTTTTGGTTTTTATAAATTTGGGGTTTTAAGCATAGAAATTAAATTGCCAGTTGTAATATGCTATCCTTTATCCTCGTGAAGTATTTTATTTTTAACTTTGGGAGGTGATGAGTCAGAATTATTATTATGGAAATTAAACAAAGGTCTGCTTGTTTCAAGTTTCACTTTAAATTTGTTGTTTGGCATAATAAAGGCAAAGTGACGGCCGCTCCATATTTTATTGCCTTGTCTTTTTGACACACAGAGGTGAGAAGGTTAAATAAAAAGAAGCAAGTCACAGAAACATTTATGAGAATTGAAGTTTTGTGTCGGAATTTAAACTCTACGCCTGTTTTTCATTGAGTTTTCAAATGGTGAAATATTTGTACAACTGGATTTCAGAAAGTAAGAAAAAGAAAAACACACGGCAATCATGACAAAATTTGAACACAACTTTATTCCGAAATTAACCTATTGATTTATCATCATTTACGCCGGTGATCACGTCGAAATTAAGATTGCATCTCTGACACAAAATAATAGTGGTGATTATTTGAGTGTCTAACTAGTCATTACATGATTGGCTCGCTAAAGGGACAGATCTAATATTACCTGTTGACGTTAGATTGTCAATTAGATCTATAAGAGGTGGTTTGGTAGAATGGATTATAGAAAATAATGCGGGCATTAGATTTTGGTATTACTAATACCTTATTTGGTATACTTTTTTAACATAATACAAGTATTAGTTATATAACTTATTTGGTATTATTAATGCTATTAATGCATGCATTAGCATTATTAAAAACAAAATTGTTCTAAAAATTCCTTAAAGCTAAAGAATATGGAGGACATTTTTGTAAACAACTAAATTTCTTAAAAATTATGCAATGCATGTTAAGTTTTAATACACCATATAAAACAGTGAATAAAAAATAATCTCTGCATAACTAATTCATATATTATTAATTCATGCATTACTAATATACCTTATTCAGCATTATTCTTATACACCCTGCCAAACGACCCTAAGTGTTTGTCCATAGATCTTGTTTCAAAAATTTGAAATAATATTGGAGATTATAGGCATTGTGGGCAAAAGGAGACCACACCTACTTCTTAGTAGTTGGGTGGGGGGGGTGGGGGGGGGGGGTTAGAAACTAGACTGTTTAAGGAACTAAGTAGATAAAGACAATGTAAGTTTGGTAGCCCATTAATTACGTACTACATAGTCTTCACTAATGTCTAAAGTGTATGGCCAACAAATACTTGGACCACCTCCTCTCTTTACTTTTGCTAAGTACTTAATTGGTTTGCTTTTTCAGAAGAAAAAAAAGAAGAAGAAGAAACATCACACTTCCTTTTGCCAGATTAACTTTTTTCCGTGATGTACAGGATATTTACAAGTGTATTTAAATTAGTTTACCAACTTTTTGGCAAGTTTTAATTTGAGAGAAAACATTTATTTTGGGCATGTGACACAGGACTATGGAGTTAGATTGCTACTGTACAGATCGCCCTACTTGGTGGATATGGTGAAAGAAAATGTTGGAACTGTTTTGAAACTGGACTCTATCCGAGGCGGCAACGCTTGGAGAGGAATGGACGTCTTGATTTTCAACAGCTGGCATTGGTGGACCCATACCAAAAGTTCTCAGCCGTAAGATCCTTTTCTTATTCAGGTTCATGTGAATTTATTTTCAATTGAACAGTCGAATTACTAGAAGTTAAACCTTTCACACCAAAAAAAAAAATACTAGAAGGTAAACCTGGTAAGTGGGTCGGGTCGACTTACATCCCCGCAATTTAACCCCATTATATTGACCCATTTAACAGTGCGGCCCCTTTCATACATGGCCTATTCCATCTCTCTTAAATAAAGGATATGGGCTGGTTCTGCAGTCCTAACCCACCAATTGGATCCAGCCGGAGACCAGTATCACCTGTTGGCCCAATCGGCTCAGCCCGGTCGCTAATAACCCGGGGTCTAAATAGTCCGGTTCGACCCAGCAAATGCAAAAATTCTTTAAAAGAAAAAAGAAAAATAATTCTTGATTATTCTAGTAATTTTGTCCTAGAATTGTTTTTCCTCAGTATGAATCTTGGGATTACGTGGAAGCAAGTATTTTCAAGTGAAAATCGCGAGAAGAATTTTAAACTGGAAACATTAGAAGGTGAAAAATAAGATAACGAGCGCTCCTCTCACTTAGAGCAGCGGGCAAGTGCTTGGTAGGCTAGACTTTGGTTGACAACGGTAACCCAAGTTCGCTTCTAGAATGATGTTTGGCTGCACCACTCTCCTCTAAGATCCCTAATTTTCCTTTTAAATTTTTTAAACTAAATCAATTGTGAAATAAGATGAATTGTGTGATTTATTTTCTTGGCCCATAATGCCATCATTGTGAAATACGTCATTAACTTTTGCTGTCGAGTGTGTGGTAGAAGGTCACCGTTTGAATCAGATGTCACGATATACAATTTTAATAACTAGCTTCTTTGTCATTATTGTTACATTGTAATCTTTTCTAAACCGAAACTGAAAGTCAAAACAAATATTTTTGCAGGTGGCATTACATGCAAGAAGGGAACAAACAATTCAAAGATATGAACCGTTTGGTAGCTTATTACAAAGGGATGTACACATGGGCAAGATGGGTCAACCGAAATGTTGACCCAACTAAAACCAAAGTTTTCTTCCAAGGAGTTTCCCCAACTCATTACGAGTAAGCAATTTCTTTAAATAATTTTCTTGAGGCATTTTCGTCCAATCACTTCCCAAAATACTAATAGATAAATAAAATGGGCAGAACCGGTGCATAAAGTATTCCACGTTCGCATAGGTTCGGGGAAGAGCCGCACCCTAAGGGGGTGTGATGTAAGCAGCCTACCCTAATGCAAGTATCAGTGGCTGATGGACCCGTGACCCATAGGTCATACACAGAGACAATTTGACAATTGCTCTCAGGCTCCCCTTCAACTTCCCAAAATGCTAATATGATTCAGAATTATTGATCCAATAATTACATCAATTTATTTTTAACATCTGATTATTGTTGTAAAACCAGGGGAAAGGATTGGAATGAACCAACAAAATCATGCAAAGGAGAAACACAACCATTCTTTGGTATAAGGTACCCAGCAGGGACACCAGCACCAGTGATAGTAATGAACAAAGTGCTAAGCAGAATTAAAAAGCCAGTTTATTTATTGGACATTACAACACTCTCTCAATATCGGAAAGATGGGCATCCAACTTTTTACAGTGATCACAATACTTTAGATTGCAGCCATTGGTGTCTTCCTGGATTGCCTGATACTTGGAACCTTTTACTTTACACAGCTCTTGTTGGCTGAAACACACACAAGAAAACAAAAAGATAACAAATGATCTTTTATCTAGAAGTCAAGATTCATTTTTCAAGTGTTTTAGGAATTTGCTTGACTTGATTTCTCAAGTTGGTAGCTACAAAATAAGAATGATGATTGTTCAGGTGTAACATAGAAACAGGATTCTTAGGCATGAGAGGATGCCTAAATTAGTTGAATGAGGCATATTGACCTTTATTTGTACTTTGTGTAGATCCAACAGATGTTGTGAAATTATTTTTTATGCTAATTTAATGCAAAAATTATGAATTGGTTTCATCGTTGGTACTCACTTCGTCTCAAATTATTTGTGGAAATTTTTAGAAATAGTTGTCTTAAATTATTTGCTATTTTAGAAGTTCGGGACAAAATGAATTATATTTTTTCTGTTTTATCCTTAATAGTAATTATTCTTGAAAATAAAGATAGCACATAAATAATATAAATATTCAATGAAGAGATCATATTTTAGGACATAAATAAAGGCAAAATCGTCTAAAATTCCTCATGATTAATGTTTGGGCGTGTAAAAGAAAAATATTAAAAGATTGCAATTTAAATCAAGATGTACAGTTTCGAATTCAGAATTTTTCTAAGCAATGCTATCCAGTTAAATCTTGTATTAAAATTGGTGAACTTTGTAATAGAATATTATCCCATAGTTAATGTTGAGGCTGGTAGTTAGAAGCAGTTACACAACTGTATGCCAGCTGTTAATGAGTTGGCATTAGTGTAGGACTAAGTTAACAAGTTAGTTAGTTAGCCATGTGTATAAATATGGAGTTTTATTTTCATTTCAGATTTTGTAGCTCAGTATTGATTTAGTGAGAATGCATTTCACTTCCTTCTATCTCGTCTCATTTCCTCTTCTGCTCATCTCCATAGCTGACCTCCATTAACACAGTATCAGAGCACCGGTGACGTTTACCTAGTTCAGCAATTAGGAGAAGTTTGCTGCGAAGAGAAGTAAGTAGAAAACTCTCACAAATTGAGCTCGCATTCGAATCTGTGCTCTACGGCGATAATTCCTCTATGATTGAATCTCGATTCACTGAAAACTTCAATCTCAATTGTTGATTTTTGGAGATCTGCTAATTGATTACTACAATGACTATCGAAGAAATTACTTCCTCTGCCACAGCCACTCCAACATTACATGATCAGAATGTAGACCTAGTCATCACAATCACCCTCTCTATATCCACCCGTCCGATGCACAAGGTGCAATTCTCATTTTAATTCAACTTCGAGGTTCTGAGAATTATTCGTTGTGGAGTAGATCTATGAATATTGTATTGCATGGTAAAAAGAAATTAGGTTTTGTGTTAGGAACCTGTAGAAAACACATGTTTGATCCTAGCCTATATGAGCTATGGTATATGTGTAATGCTATTGTGTTAGCTTGGAGAATGAACACTGTGGCTCCAAATTTACTTAGCTCTGTGATTTACGCTTTTGATGCTCACAAGGTTTGGGAAGACATTCGTGAGAGGTTTGATAAGGTTAATGCATCAAGATCCTTCTACTTACATAAGGAAATTGGGAAGCTAACACAAGGTCTATTATCTGTGTTTGAATATTTCAAAACTTAGAGAATTGTGGGATTAATATGAGGCTTTAGTCCCTCCTCCTTCGTGTGGTTATCCAGAATCTAAACAAAATGCAGAACATTATCAGCTTCGAAAGTTGTGTCAATTCTTACTAGGCTAAATGACACTTTTGATAATGCTAAGGATCAGATTCTCATGACTAGACCAGTATATAACATAAACCAGGCGTATGCAATGATCATTAATGTGGAAAGTTAGAGAAGAAATAATGATACTGTTGGTGTTGGTGATCCTACAGCTCTACTGAGTAATAGAGTCCCTACTAGTAGTTACAATCATGGTTATAAGCCCAGAAACAACTTTGGAAAGTCATTTCTTCAGTGTGACTTCTGTCATCTTAAAGGTCACACTAGCGACAATTGTTCTAAACTTCATGGTTACCCCACTGATTTTAAAGGTAGGAAAGGAGGGGGAGGTACTCCTGATTCCGAAGATGCATATGCACACTCTGCCAACATAGCATCTGATTCATCTAACCAACAAGGAGGTGCTGCTAATATCATTCCATCATATGTTCAGCAACAGCAGGTGTCCTTTCAGCACCTTTCTTTACTCAAGATCAATAAATCAGATCCTGCAAATGTTGAACAAAGGAAATCAGGTTGAAGTTGTGGCTAATTCTGCAAAAATGAATACTACAGGTACCATAACAGCTCTCATGTCTCATCTAGTGAGTAATAATTGGATTATAGATACAGGTGCTACCAATCATATGGCTCACAACCTGAATCTACTGAGCAATATTAGAAAATTATCAAACAGTGACCAAAATTCAGTTCCACTTCCTAATGGTGAAAAGGTTATTATCAGTCACATTGGTGATCTATCATTGTTTAAGGATAAATCAGTACATCATATGCTTTATATTCCAGATTTCAAGTTTAATCTAATGTTAGTGTCAAAAATCACAAAAGAGCTAAGATGTCTAGTAGCTTTCTTTCCTGACTTCTGCATATTTCAGGAGCTCTTCACTGGGAAGGTGATGAGGATTGGTAAAGAGGAGCATGATCTCTACATTCTGAAGCACAAAGAACAAGATGTTCCCAAGCAGCTGTCAGATCCTAGGCCAATTCATTCCAGTCCTCTTGTAAATACCACTGTTAGTGAGTCCAAAACAAATAATGCTACCACTGAAAATAAGAATTCTACTGAGTATCTAGATGAGATTGTCTTGTGGCATAAGAGGTTAGGTCATGCACCATTAAGAGTTCTAAAGAAGATAGAAAGTCTGCCTAATGTTCAGTTGAAGGAGCATTTCTGTACAGTTTGTCTTGTTGCTAAGCAAACAAGAATTCCTTTTTCTTCCAGTAATGCATGTTCTATTAATGCATTTGATCTTATATATGCTAATGTTTGGGGACCATACAAAGTACCTACTCATAATGGTAGGAGGTATTTTATGACTTTAGTGGATGACTACTCAAGGTTTATCTGGCTTTTCTTAATGAATGATACGGCAGAATCTATTGTGATCTTGAAATTTTTTCTGTTATTAGTCAAAAATCAGCTTCACAGCAGTGTCAAGGGTCTAAGGTCAGACAATGGTACTAAATTGTTTAACAACCAAGTCACAGGACTACTACAAGAACATGACATAGTTCATCAAAGTTCTTGTGTATACACTCCTCAACAAAATGGCAGAGTTGAAAGAAGACATCGATCTATTCTTGATATAGCTAGGGTCTTAAGGTTTTAGGCTTGTGCCCCCCTAAAATTTTGGGGGAGAATGTGTTACTACTACTGTGTACATTCTGAATAGGCTGCCTACTACTGTACTGAAGGGTGTATCTCCTTTTGAAAAGTTTTTTCACAATTCCCCTTCTTTACAACATCTCAGAGTCTTTGGGAGTCTGTGTTATGCAACTAACTTGAAGAAAACAGATAAGTTCTGTCCTAGAGCTATTCCTGTTGGTCATCTAGGCTATTCCTCTGTCCAGAAGGGTTATGTTCTGTATGACTTGAGCCCTCTACTCTTCATTGTTAGCAGAGACACTGTGTTCAGAGAAGATATTTTTCCATTCAAACATCTACATACAAACCCATCTCCTTTGTTTCCAGTTCTAGAGTTCAGAGATGCTGAATGTCCTGCTCTGCATACTCTTGACTCCTTCAGTCCATCTGCTACTCCATGTCCTTCTATGCCTTCCTTGAGTGACCAAACTAGTCCATTCTCCCCTTCTCCTCCTCCCAGTGATCATTCTTCCTCATCTTCTCTTACTTCACCTGCTCATGCTGATTTAAGGAGATCTTCTAGGGAGACTAAACTTCATATATGGATGGAAGACTATATCGTGCTGACTAAGCCTTCTTCCCGTGCTCACCCTATCTCACAGTGTGTAACCTACGATTATCTCTCACCTACCTGCAGGGCATCATTTGCAGCTTATTCAGCCATTACTGAGCCAAGGTCTTATGATGAGGCCAAGGCGGATCCCAAGTGGATTGAGGCTATGAAAGTTGAGATTTCAGCCTTAGAAGCTAATCAGACTTGGACCATTGTTGATATTCCTCAAGGTAAGACTCCTATAGTTTGCAAATAGGTCTCTAAAGTGTAGTACAAGTCTATAGGTGATGTGGAGAGGTATAAGGCTAGACTACTTGCAAAATGATATAGTCAACTAGAAGGTTTGGATTATAAGGAGACTTTCTCTCCTGTAGTTAAGATGGTAACTCTTAGTTCTGTGGTGGCTTTGGCTGCAGCATCTGGATGGTATATTTTTTAGATGGATGTATACAATGCTTTCCTTCAAGGTGATCTCCTTGATGAGGTGTACATGCACATCCCAGATGGCTTTGCCAGGCAGGGGGAGTTACAGCAGCAACAGAAGGTTTGCAGGCTTCATAAGTCACTGTATGGGCTTAAATAAGCTCCCAGACAGTGGAACTTGAAGCTTACTAATGCACTGACTGACATGGGCTTGCTCAATCGCACTATGACTATTCTTTGCTTATACATAAGGTAGGCTGTGATCTTATAATAGTGTTGGTGTATGTGGATGATCTTCTGGTGATTGGAACTAGCTTAGCACTCATTCAACAAGTGAGAAAAGATTTACAAGCCAAGTTTAAGATGAATGATCTGGGAGAACTAAAGTTTTTCCTTGGTATTGAGTTCTTGATATCCAAGAAAGGAATTTTGATGAATCAAAGGAAGTATGCACTTGAGCTAGTGTCTAAAATGGAATTAACAGGTAGTAGAACAGCTGCTACTCCTCTAGAGTTCAATAACAAGCTCTCCTCTGTAGAACTAGACAGGTTTTTGCACACTAATGAGAACTCAAGTGACAAAGAACTAGAAGATAGAAGCAACTACCAAAGGCAGATTGGCAGATTGTTATACCTAACTATGACTAGGCCTGATATTTCCTTTGTAGTTCAGGTACTTAGTCAATACATGCATGCTCCTAAGCAGTCTCACATGGATGCTGCCATAAGAGTAGTTAGATACATTAACGGCACTGCAGGTCTTGGGCTGTTTATGCCAGCAGATGGAAGCACAAAATTGTCAGCATTTTGTGACTCAGATTGGGGAGCATATGTAGAAACCAGGAAGTCAGTAACAGGCTACATGGTGAAGTTTGGGCAAGCTTTGGTGTCTTGGAAATCAAAGAAACAAAGTACTTTTTCCAGAAGTTCTACTGAAACAGAATTCAGGAGCATGGAATCAACTGTAGCTGAGATC